CACACACACACACACACACACACACACACACACACACACACACACACAGAGCAGCTACTCTCCATCTCTAACCTCTCCTGGATTCTCGTTAACGATCCTGATTATAGCAGAAACAGCGTTTTCTTTCTGAAGCAGGTCCAGACCAGGAGCGTTGGGGTCAGGAACGTCTCCCAGACCGTCCTGACCGTGGAAGTGACCCGAATCTATGACGTTACCAAGGATGGGCTTATCAGCACCTTTAAACACTGGAATCTGTTCAGTGAGGAGAACACCACAAAATGGAACGTGGAAATAGTAGATACACAGTACTGTCTTTATGCAATGCTCGTGGCMAATTTAACACCCACCTCGAGTTTATTACAGGCCTGCAGAACTCTCAGAGTGTTCTTGCACACGTTCTCCACTGTAGTGTTTCCGTGCACGCAGGTGATACCGAGGAGCTGAACACCRGGAGCGGCCAGCGCCAACATGATGGCCTGAGCATCGTCCACGCCGCAGTCCACGTCTACTAGCAGCTTCTTACTCATCCTGCACCCTGYAGAGCAGCAACACTATAAATTTTATCTGACTGGTACACCCAAGCCACAATTACGGCTGGAATGTTCTCAGCAGAAAGAAAAAAAAAAGTGGGAATCATGAAGGACTCTCAAACTTGCTTATTCTGGAGCAATTTGCTACCATGAGTGGGAGGGTAAACAAGGAATAGCTCTTACTTTTCTCCTGCTTGGTCTGAAAATCTTTCTGTTGCTCAGCGTGCCTCTGTCCCGTCTGCTTATCCGGTGTCAGTCTCCTCTTTTTACTCCGCGTTGTCATCTGCTGTGAAATACTTTTAACCTGAATGAGTAAAAAGCTAGTTAAAAGTGATGGTTGCATGAGTCTCACACACCGAGCCTTGATGAAAATCTACCTGTTGCAGAGTCTTCAAACTGTKTCTCGTTGCTCTGACACATCGAAGCTGACAAGAGCCATATGAAAAAACTCAGTGAAGAAAACAAGTTGTCTAAATGAAAAGAAAAAAATAACGAGAAAAWTTTTTTTTCAATGAAATTCATTCTGCTCAATATGTTGAACTTTTACTGTGATGCATCTTCAGATTTCATTGTAGATTTCACCTCAAGCWATTTCCCTGCCTCATTTAAGAACATGACTTTGTGCTTCACTGCATCTTTAGTTTATTGTTGTTAGCAGGTAAAAGAACAACACAGGGTGTAAAAGAATTGCCTAATAAACATTAAATTAAGTCAAAATGAAAGTAAAATATTCTGCTGATAAATGGCTCATTACTATCTCCGTCTCAAAGAAACAGGAATCAACGCACCGCGTATTGAATAAAGAGTATTAAAGGCCTTAATATATGTAAGAAGTATTAACAAAATAGCAAAAACTGAAAAAATAAAACGTAACACTGTACGTGACAGCCGGGCAAACATTAACTTCCGGGTGGTCCCGCAACTATTACCTCCGGCGGAAACTTCGCACAGCTCCAGCTTTTCATAAAAGAAAGTCAAGAAAGATAAATATTTTTAATTTCAATGAAAGAAACGCGTCTTTAACTTTTTGAAAATAAAACAAAAATAGCCATTAGGTTCATCATAATTGTTTTTATGCTCTCCTCRTGTAGCTGCCAGCGGTAATAAATGACGATGTAGACATAACTAGTTAGTTTAGTCTTTTTTTTTTAGTCCGCGTAAACATTAGTCAGTTCCTTTGTTTATACGTCTCTGAATGTGGAAAAACCGACTCACCGCCACAGAAAATAGAAAAATACTCGACATATCACACAACCTGCAGATCTATTCTCTTCTTCTTTTTTTCCGCCGCAAAGCCCGCAAATATTTTTCTTCTTCTTCCTGTTTACTTTTTTGGCGGTTGGCTAGTGTCTACCGCCACCTACTGATATGGAGTGTGGATCAAACATATTTTATGTTCTTT